CTTTCCCTAAATGCTGGGTTTTGACCTCTGACTGCATTTAAACCAGTAGCACAACCATGGCCCCTTTACTTACTCAGAAAAGCATCTGACCAAGCCATCGTTTACAGGCACACAAGGGTTTCACATTTACTTTCAGAAAGAAAAAAACCTTTCTCTGTGAAACTCTCTCTGTCTGTAACTTTTGCCAGTAGTTAATAGTTTTGCCTGATGTCCTCTAGCTCTGTGGAAAGGGTTGCATGGCAAACCTGGTTGTTGTAATGGGGTGGGAAGCTCAGCCAGACAGGAGTCTTTTCCAGGTCTCTGCTTCTGTCTTCAGCATTCCTGGCCAGACTAAGAGAGAGAGCATTTTCCTCAACAGACCCAAGGATTTTAACTGATTGCTGATGTGTGTCGTTTTGAAAAAATTGTAATTTTTGAGGAATGAAGCCTTCAGAAATAACATACATGTGGCAGGCAATGAGAGGTTTTTATATGAGCAACACAAGGGAGAGAAATTTGCAAGTGTATTAAAGCCTTATTCTGGGTAAAGAAATGTGGTTTTTATCCCACAGACATGGAAGGAAACAGAAGGGTTAAGTCACGTTGGATTTGTAGTCTTTTTACCAAAAGCATTTGCCATTTAAAAGAAGTTAAAAACTCCCATGTCAGCATGATTCAAGTAATTCTGTGTAAACCATTTCCAGTAAACCATCATCTTATTTTTCTGACATCACGCACAGAACCAAATATTTGTTGTGCAGTAGCAGTATCGTCAAGACAATAAATCTACCATGTTATAGAACCCACGCGAATGCTCTCTGTCTTGGCAGGGTGGACTATGAACGCATCGAAGCCGTTGGCCCGGACAGGGCAGCGTCAGAGTGGCTGCTGCGATGCGGCGCCCTGGTGCGCTATCAGGGCTCTGAGAAGTGGCAGCAGGACTACAACGGGCTCCCAACGGGGCCCCTGGGGAAGTACAAGATCGAAGCGATCAACGCCACTGACTCTTGCATCATGTACAGAGGATTTGACTATTTGGGTAACGTAGACACGGCTGTGCAAAGATGATACTGCATGGTCTTTGTTCTTTCAGCTGCATCAAAATGTGAATAACCAGGTCATTTTCTCATTCCTTAGTAAGATACAGAGAAATCTTTCCATTTTTTTCTCTTTTTTTTTTCCATAACATGGCTCTGTAAATATTAAGCAGTTCCTAAGATTTTGCTGGAGGTGTGGTGTGAAGCAGGGATTGGGAACTTCATCAGCCCCTACCTGAAGTGGCAGTAGCACTAGGGAGGTGCAACAGAGATTTGCTATTTCATTGAGTTCCTAGTTAAGTAGTTGGTAGCAAAAAGCACTACTTTAAATACTCTTTCTTCTAAACCAAGTGATGTTTTGGTGTCTGTGAAGTTGTAATAGTGCTTGTTCTCTGCTTCAGAGAAAAAAAAAGCAAGCAAATATTTTGAAAGTGTTTCAGATCTCCTTTAAATAACAAAAAAGGGAAACAGATCATTTTCTTTTCTTATGGCAAGAGACCTTGAATATTCTGCATTACAATGTTCCTAATTCAGAATCACCCAAACTTGCATTTTATTTTGTTACTTGCCCACGTCAGAGCTCTTAGAATCTTACCAAAAGGTTACAAACCTGGGGTTTTCATATATTTGAAGCACCGTGAAGGGATTCCGGAGCTTCATGGTGCATTGCGGCCCCGCTGTAGAGAGGAGCACGTTGTTTTGGAGGCAGTTACTAAATTGAGAACTGAACCACCAGTACGGGTTGTTCCTGATGCTCTGAAGCAAATCCTAATTTTTTTCTCTCTGCAGATGGTCTGGAGCACGTGACAGAAATCAAGCTGCAGAAGTGTATTTACATACAGGACGAGTGTCTGCAGAGGCTCAGCAAGATGAAGAACCTCCAGAAGAGTCTGCTGCAGCTGAGGATCATTTCCTGCGGGAACGTCACAGATAAGGGCATCGTTGCCCTTCACCGGCTGACGTATGTGAGCTGCTGAGCTCTTTGTGCTCTCTGGCTGTGACCACCCTGTGGTTTTGGGGGTTTTAAATAGTTTTAAATACTGTTTAATATAAAGGAAGCTTCATGATATGGAGGAGTCCAGGATCTCTTTTTAAGCTGGGTAGGACTGACCTTATGGTGAGCTAAAAACTGCAAGCACCCACTTCAGGAAAAAAACTTCATTAAAATTAGTGACCTTTTAGAATCCTCAGAATAACGATGGTAGAATAATCCTTTGTCTGTTTTCTGTGTCAACAGGTAAACAGTAATTGCTGACTTTTCTTTTTAAATATTTATAGGAATCTTGAATATTTGTATCTGAGTGACCTTCCTGGGATAAGAGAGAAAGAATCAACTGCTCACATCCTTCAGCAGGCACTGCCAAACCTAGAGCTGGAGCTGGATTTACAGTGAACACAGCTGCACATCATGGAGATGTATGTGATTTCATTGTTTATGGTACATTGCATAAATTAAATTGTAGATGCTGCTGTATTTCCAGGTATGGAAATAAGCCTGGATCTCCCAGCCTTAAAAGCTGTATGCGGTTTTTTTTGACAAATTATGCAATTAAGTCGTATTAAGTTTAAACTTAAAAGGTGAATCGACAACAGAGAAGGCAGGCTTTTCTGCATAGCCATTTTTTTCCTGTTTTTATAGGAAGCTGTTAATACATCGATTAGAAATTTTCAAATATTTTATTGCACAGGAATTCTTGTGCAAAATGACAGTGGGGAGGATGTCTGGGCTGTGAAACAGCAGCGCTGCACACTTTTATTGCGTCTCATTGATGCTGTGGGAGCGAGAGCTGTTCACTCTGAGTCTCGCCCGGTCAATGGGCAATGATTTAATAAAATGGATTATGGTCTCTTTTTTTCTGTGCTTCACACTCTGACTGATGTAGCCTTTGTTTGCTTTAAATGGAGCATCTACAGATGGGCAGTGTAACCTCCTGAACACCGAGCTGAGGAACTCAGGTTGCATTTTTAGTCAAATTCAGAAATTTGAGAGAGAAAAGCAGTAGGCAGGGCCTTCAAGAAAGCAGATTTCCTGCTTATGTCTCAGACGTGGCCACCTCTGTGTAACTGAGTCTCTTTTTTGTACCTCTGACCGTCTGCTTCTCTGCTGAAGAAAGTGATGCTCCCCTCGCAGAGAGGGGCAGGAGCAGCATCCAGAAACGAAGCTGCCTCCAGGCCGTGCCCACGGGACTGCGCAGGTGCTGCGTTGCCTTGCATGTACATGGGATTAAATGCCTGAACTTCCATACAGAAAATAACACCAAAGCTTTCTGAGCGTAACCAGAGCTACCTCTGGACTCAATGTTCAAGACTAAAATCTATTAAATGATAACATGAAACAAAAGGTAAGCAGGCTCTGTGAGGACGTGGCATCTGTCCCATCGAAATGGCTTCTGCTGTTGCTGAACACAGAACTGGGAAAAGAAAACCTTTTTGCTCTGGGTTTCAAGTAGAAAGAGGATGTCCCTGGCCCCGTAGTAAAACTTGATACAGTAAAACACATCCAGTAAATTGGAAAACCAAGCTACATTCCTTTTATTCAGAATCAACACAGTATTACATCCTGAGATTACCCAAAACCCCAGTCGTTCTGATACATACGCTTCGGTAGAATTCCTGCCTGCGTCTGGCCAATGTTACAAATTATATTCATGAAACATTTTTGATAGAAACAATTTCTGTAACACTGCAAGTGATACAACTATTGACAGAAACAGCAAATCAAAACAACCTCTTAATGCAAGGAAGAAACAGGCAGGAGAAACTCCAAAAAGACTAAAGAAACAGCAGATTTTACTGTTTACACGTTCTCTTCCTGGTAACGGTGCCTGCTGAGCCTTCCCTGGCGTCTGTGCCAGTACTTTGAATGCTTTGTGATCTCTAAAGACACAGACAGATCTTTAGAGCAGGTTTCTAACGCTGGAGCAGTCGGGCAGCGTCTCCTCAGGCTTGGCTCCACAAGCACTCATCTGTCTGCTCCTCACATGGGCTGTGCACCAGCAGCTCCTCGTGGGGTCGGGGACTCGGCCCCAGGCTCAAGCAGCGTCGCTGTTTTGACACAGTGGGACCCTTGAGTTATTTGGCAAGGCTGCAGTTCTTCTGCCAAGTCTGAAATACAGGCGCTAGACACGCAAGAAGTTTTGAATTCACGCTGCAAACATGGGGTTGCAGTGATCGTGTACGATCACGAATTAAAGCAAAATGCTTGTGTTTTCCTCTGTACGCAGAGCACCGACTACTGTGAGCTTGGAGTTGTCCCTGTGCATTGCTTCCCTTCCACCAGTGGCCCAGAGCACATCACAAAGCACTTCTGTGCACGCTGTAACATGTTTCAATTTAGTTTTCCACCACATATCCTCCTTTTATAAATTCTGAATGCCTTGAACTTTGCACAATAAATAGTTGTTAATCTGCCATCCGGTTAGATGCTGGGGAAATGGTAGTTTGATTTCCTTGTTTTGCAGCAGTGCTTCTTGCTGTCCAAAGCTGGCAGAACCTTACTGCTGGTCAACTGTGGCAGGTGCTGTAACTAAAGGAAAAGTGACGCAGTGTGTATTTGTGTGAAATGAGAACAAAGCATTTTCAAAAAGGAATACAAGCTATAAAACTGTTCATACTGTAATCCTGGACTTTTCAAACTAAGAGTCATGGATCTGGTGTTCTCCAACTGGACTGCAACCAGCCCAGCTCATTAAAGGTACTTCTTCCAGGAAAAATATTACTGCTACATCCTATGTCACAGAAATGGAAGAGGGGAGTCCGTTGGAGCCAGGAATTTACACGCCGTAGCAGTTCTCCATCCTCCATCTCCAACTTCCCCACGCGTGACCAGCCCAGTGTTACAGCTTTCATGGGGATGTCCCTCACAGGAGCTGCTGAACGTGACTCCTCATAAGACCAGATTTGGCGACTTGGGCTGGAGTCTGGAAAGCCTGAAGTGGCTGAACCCCAGCTCTCATCGCTTTGCTGCTCATCCCTGTGACTCCACGGAGCTGCCAGGCAGAGCTCCCTCTGTACCGAGTTACTCCTTTAGCCAGGAGGTTCATTTTCTCCTTGGGCTAAAATGAAGATTGGTCCAGTGCAGGAGCTCACTCTCACTGTTAACTGCCAGCGTGAGCCCACCTCCCAGGAGCCAAACAGAAAACCAGTCCCTCTTTAGAATCATAAATTGTTTAGGTTGGAAAAGACCTTTAAGATCATCGAGTCCAAAGTTAATCTGGCACTGCCAACTCCACTACTAAACTGTGTCCCTCAGCACCACATCTCCCGGTATTTTAAACCCCTCCAGGGATGGTGACTCCTCCCCTGCCCCGGGCAGCCTCTTCCAGTGCTTGACAACCCTTTTAGTGAAGAAATTTTTCCCCATATCCAATCTAACGCTCCCCTGGCACAACCCGAGGCCATTTCCTCTTGTCCCATCGCTTGTTACTTGGGAGAAGAGACCGACCCCCACCTCACTCCACCCTCCTACGGACACCAGCATCTCAAGGCACAGAACATTAAACACTGCTATGACAATGTTACCCCTGTCACGTGCTTCTGAGTCAGCCTGGCTGGTTTCTGAGATGTTTTTTCATGTTCTTTCCCCAGATCCGCTGCCTCCCTAATGCTGTCAAAATAGGGGTGCTGCAGCAGCTGCTCACACGTCTGCCTCTCCGTGGGGTCCATACGAAGGCAGCCCTTAGGACAGATGAAGCAAAGGATCACACAAAACTCTCGTTAAACATGTCTGCACCATTCCAGCTCACACACACCACGGCCAATCAGTATGCACACAGATACGGTTAATATCTTTTTTAATTTTTTCAGAGTCAGCATGAAGCTTGCAAAGCAGCCAATACTGAGCAACTGCCACAGGGCAGTAAGACAAACTGCAGCCAAAGGGGCAGTTACAACTGGCGTAGCAAAACATCAAGCCTCAAAAACCAGTTAGGCCCATAACCTTCATCTGAACTGGAACAACTTCCTTAAACAGCGGGACCCACTATGGCGCGAGCTGAGTTGTTCCAGTGTTTCACGGAGCTAATGCTATCCACAGCTGCACCTTCCTCTTAATGTCTCCATCCTCACAGTTTCCATTCACTGCATCTTAATAAGGGAATATGAGGTTTTCCACCTCCATGGTAAAAACGAGCAGATTATAAAGGAGTGGATTAAAAGTCCTCTCCGAATCCCAGCTCTGTTTTTCAGTGAATCTCTGACAATTCAGTAGCCAGCTCTCAAACCATTTGCCAGCTGGATAAGCAAAACAGCCGGCACTTGCTAAGTCTCAGTGCAGAGCTCCTCCATGAGCTGTGGTTTTCTTACCTTCATGAAAGCTAAAGCAGAGTAGGAAATATTAGGGAATTTCATTTCTAACGGCTCCTGCAGAGGAAAAAAACACAATTAGTGTACTCATATTAGCAAGTTTTTTGTTCATCAGGTACAGTGATCCACAGCAACAGGACCTGGACCTCACAAAATACTTCCTGTGCTCAAGGGGAGCTGCCAGGCATGGCTTCTAACGGCTCCTGCAGAGGAAAAAAACACAATTAGTGTACTCATATTAGCAAGTTTTTTGTTCATCAGGGTACAGTGATCCACAGCAACAGGACCTGTACCTCACAAAATACTTCCTGTGCTCAAGGGAAGCTGCCTGGCATGGCTGAGGATGGGCAGGTTGGCTGCTGTGCCACCAGAATCGAGGAGAAGGAACCGAGATTAGGCATTTGTTTGACTGCTTTGACACAGGGTATTGGTTAAAATGTCATGAGAGGGGTTCAGCCACCCCCAAATAATATTCTAGCATACATCAGCAAAGTAGAGGGCAAAGCTTTTGGATAGGGAAAAAATTCTATGCAGCAAGAGGAGGACTGGTCAAGCTGAGCAAGCGAAGCTTTTCCAGCTGTGCTTCTGACACAGACAGCACGCGTGCTCTGGGTAAAAAGGAGGAACATTTCTCTGTGCAAACACCACGACTCCTTCACACTGCAGACAGATCGCTGGTTAGCGCTAGGCTGAGGGGAAGCGTGTCCGGAGGCAGCTCTTACCATGCTCTCTGGGTCGGGAATTCTTACCCCGCTGAAGAACTGGTTGGTGCTGAACGCTTGCTGGTGCCTGGGAATCAGATCCCCTTTGACCAAGAATAAAAAAACAAAAAGTCAGATTAATTTGCTGCTTTTACAGTGCCTGCACCAAACAAGCTTATCCTCTGGCCGTAAAGAGCTGACAGAAATTTGGCTGGTGGGAGCAGGTTTTGGAGCAGGAGTGCTCAGCTGCTGAGCATCTTCCAGACTCTGAGTTTCTGTGCTGTGCAGCAGAGCAGCTTTCATGAACTCTGGCCACTGTAGCTGCAGGCCTTGAAAAAAGTGTATCTCTATACATGTCCCCGTGCCAAATGGCTTGATCCTGTCACTGCATTATTTGGGTATCTGCACATTTGGATTTCCGCTAGCAAAAAGACCCTTTGGTAGAACACCAGGGAATGAGGTGGGCATGGCACCAAGTTTCACAAACCCATTTGCTCCGTGGCGG